TAGAAATGTCTATTTTTTAATTTTTTTTCAACGTTTATTTATTTTTGGGACAGAGAGAGACAGAGCATGAATGGGGGAGGGGCAAAGAGAGAGGGAGACACAGAATCGGAAACAGGCTCCAGGCTCCGAGCCATCAGCCCAGAGCCTGACGCGGGGCTCGAACTCCCGGACCGCGAGATCGTGACCTGGTTGAAGTCGGACGCTTAACCGACTGCGCCACCCAGGCGCCGCAAAATTTCTATTTTTTAAGAACAAAGTTTTGATCACTGTGCTCTATTTAGATAGTCCCTCTTAAACCCACCTCCATTTCCCCATATGTATTGGTGAAGAAAAGACAAACTCCTTGCAGTAGTATTGGGAAACATCTAAGAAAGAATCGGTGACACTGTATTTTACAGGAGATGCTTCTTCTCTAACAAGTATTTATAGAATATGAAATCTGAGAAAATTATCACCCAATTTTCCTCTTCTGGAGGCATGTTCTAAATGATAGGAGTCTGTATATCCATGAGGTTTGCTGACATTTTTTATTTGATCCAGAATCTGTATTCTTTCTCAAAGAAAGCATAATAAGCAGCACAATATATTTTGTGCTACTTACTTAACATCTAAATTAAGGTGGATGTTTTAAGATTATTTTCAGAGAGAAGGTGTATAGTTCAAATTATTTGGCTGTATTTTACAGTGTTGTTACAAAATTGTCAAACAATGGCTGGGCTCCAGTATAGTTCTCAGTTCCTGTGTTCCATTGGGACACTGGTCTTAAATCCAATGTTTCCTCTTATTCCAAACATAAAAACAAACAAACAAGCAAACAAATAAGCAAGTGGATAAGTAAATGAAAATATTTTAAAAGCCAGCTCTTTTCTCCCTCATCCATATTAATTCTCTTCTAGCTAAATATACTTCCTAGAAGTGATTTTTATGTTTCTTAGAAACTCTCTATGCAGATATCCACACTAGTATAGAGACAACTATTCCTTCTAGATCTCATACATTTTCCATTTGAAGTATTATTTATTTTCGTATGTCACTCTGAGTTTATCCATTCTCCTAGATATGTACTCTTCCGGTGCATTTGAGCATCATAGGAAAATAAATCTTACTCTTGATAATGGTAGCCTGGTCATTGAGTCACAGAAAGCTATTATTCCTACAATTTTTCAATAGTGAGTAGATTCTATAGGGGTAGAATGTTAAGATGTAAGTACACTGTTTTTCTATACTCAAATTACATCCCTCTTATCATAGAAATTGACCAGGAAGTGTGCTGCTGACTTTTCAGAATACATGTACATATAGTCCATTAAGTTATTATATATATAACTTTGGTCAAAAAAGCATACTGTGAAATGTTGCCTTTGTTTAAACTCCCACTATTTCACTATACAGCTTTAAGATTCAACTTCTTTATTGCCCTCTGGTGGTGGGCTCTGTGAACTGCCTATTTAGAGGTCTGATAACCTTATTCACGTAACTAAGTAGGTATTCAATTCCTCAGGTACAAGCTAAAAAGTAGATATTGGGAAACATTCAAATTTATTGAAACTGACTAAGGAGGTCAATGACTTGATTGTTAGTTCAAAAATATGAAATATTGATTCTCCTTTTGTCAAATAATATTGCATGAAGAGAATACGAATACTTGTTTGCTTTGGAATAAAAAACAGTAATTAAAGATTTTCTTCATTTGGACCATGCCTTCTCTGAAAATACAGAGTTCAATTAGGAGTTGGACTTTCCAAAATATTCTTTTAAAAATAAAACTCCACAAGTAATTTCAAATTATAATTTAAGTTTATCTTAAATTTAAATATTTATATCTATATTGATTTAAATGTGATACACTATATAGTTTCAGGTGATTCCATCCTTCATATCTTCTCCCCCCTTCAACAAATAGGATACATACTGAGTGCCTAATACGAGTTAAGGAACTCTGTATGAAATTGTGATGTTGGTAAAGCTTAGCAGAAAGGATTGCAGCCTGTGTGTTGATGAATTTTCCCTAGGAGTGTAGAAGATGGTAGGTGGGGAAGGGTCAGACATGTCTCTGTGCTCCCCAAATTTTCTCTGTCAACTATCAACCTCTTATATTAGAAATAACTTCCCTTGTTAGAAAGGGTTTTGAGACGGTAAATGTTTTCTATTAAAATGTAAGTATTTTCAGGAGTACCTGAGTGGCTCAGTTGGTTAAGCTTCTGGTTCTTGATCTCAGGGTCATGAGTTCAAGCCCTGCATTGGGCTCTGTGCTGTGTGAAGCCTACTTAAAAAAAAGTATTTTCAAAGTCTGTAAAATATAGGGTATTATGTAGTTTCCTTAGTATAGCTGATTTTCAACAGAACAGACTGGGGACTGTATCTATGGATGTGTATGTGCATGTGTGTGTCTACGGAGGATACAAAAGACACCTTGGACAAGAAATAGTACTGGTATATGACAAGGAAAAGAACATAAAAGACAAATTTCATCTACTTAAGTTACCCCCTGGCTGGGGAAAGTCTTACTTTTCCACCATCCTTTGCTAATATATTTAGTAAATGCCCAGGGTCCTTAGCTACCTCTGTAAGTTTTACAAGCCTGTCAATATCCCATGTGCAGGGGATGGAGCCTCGAAATTTTGCCCATATAGTTTTTCTTTCCCTCAGAGTTTTCCTCTGAGCTATGTAGTGGGGTAGGTTTTTGGTGAAAATCTGTGCTCATTTGTTAAATAGAAACTACTTTTATAGTTTAAATAAATAAATGGTATTTTGAGCCAATTGCAGAGTACCTCTGGCTTCCTCATAACAGATACTTTAGGACAAGTAGGTCATTTATATTCCCTTAAATCAGAGTACAAAGTTATTGAGCAATTCTAGTTCAAACCTTGTAGTCACAAAATGTGGAAAGAGATATCCTGCATTCTGTCATCATCTGCTTATTCTCTTACACAGACACCAAAAACTCTTTCACTGAAGTCGAAAGAAGAATAATACTCAAACAAAGTCTGTGTTTAAAGTCTGTGTCTTGTTTTTATTTTTCCCAGGCATAAAGTAGGTAACTGTTCGATGTTCTCATGATAAATATTAAAAATCTAAAAGATGTTTTATTTACTAAAGGTCATAAAATTCCAACTTTTCTTTTGGTAGAGAGATTTATGATGAAAAGTTTGGAAACTTCTGTTCTATATTAATTTTCCTGATTTGAGACTGCAGAGAACAGCATTTAGATGGAAAAAGTTGCCAAGAGGACCATAAGTAAAGGCATTTATGCGTTCTTTCTTATAATTTCATTTATTAGTTTCCAACATCTAACTTTGAAAAGCTGCCTGAGGCTACGCAGCATGTACAACAGGGATCACAGCTGTGCTGCCCCCACCCTCTCCCTGCAGATGGGAATAGAGTGTGCCTAGCAGTACCGGCACAGGCCCGCATTTCTCTGTCCACCCTTGGTACTTCTCAGGACAGGGGCTTTTCTCCATCAGCTTCATCCTGCTCCACTTGACTCCTTTTCCCTCCAGTATTATAGAAATATAATTCACATTTAACACTGAGTAAGTTTAAGGTGTGCAGTGTGATGATTTGATACATGCATGTACTGAAAAATGATTACCACAAATAAAGTTAGTTAACAAATCCATCACCTCACGTAATTACATTGTGTGTGCGTGTGTGTGTGTGTGTGTGTGTGTGTGTGTGTGTGTGTGTGTGTATGATGAGAACATTTAAGATCTCTCTTAGCAACTTTCAATTGTACAATATTGTTAATTAGAGTCACTATGCTGTACATTAAATCCCTGGAACTGGGGCACCTGGGTGGCTTAGTTGTTGAGTGTCTGACTTTGGTTCGGGTCATGATCTCACGGCTCATGGGTTCGAGCCCCACATCAAGTCTGTGCTGATAGCTCAGAGCCTGGAGCCTGCTATGGATTCTGTGTCTCTTCTTTCTGCCCATCCCTCACTCATGCTGTGTCTCTCTCTGTCTTTCAAAAGTATATGAATGTTTAAAATTTTTTTTAAATTAATAAATCCCAAAACGTATTCTTCTTATAACTAGACATTTGTACCTTTTGACGAATATCTCATCTCCTCCACCCCTAGCCTCTGGCAACCACTATTCCATTCCTTGAGTTAGCGTAAGTGAAATTCCACATATAAGTGAGTCATACAGTATTTGTCTTTCTCTGTCTGACTTATTTCACTTAGCATAATGCCCTTAAGCTTCATGTATGTTGTCACAAATGGCAGGATTTCCTTTTTTTATGACTGAATAATGTTCATATATATGATATATGTATATATCTCACATCTTCTTCATTCATTCATCATTAATGAACACTATTAATTATAGAAACTCTGTCAACTCCTACAAGTGACTAAGGTAACAACACACAAAATCTGGGTGCTGTTACAATAGAGAAAATTTCCCAATGGTAGCAGTAGATCCTGGCTCTAGATAGGCTACACCCCACAGGCAGAAAGGCTGGCCGTATTTTGGGAGTAGCTGGTTTGAATATGAGTCAAACAAATCAAATAATTGGTTGATATGTCACTAGGACAAAGTCTATCATCTATTTTAGGCATCTTACCATAGATATGAAGTGAGAATAAATGGAAAAGAAGGCATCTAAAGCAAAAGGTTATCATGAAACCAGTTCTTTTTATTCTATAGAAGGGAGAATATACAATCTCACCTCAGAACCTGAAATCAAACAATGACATGTAACAGCTTGTGTAGGATATAATTGTAGCAGGAAAAATACAAGCAGAAAGCACAGGAGAAAAAAGTGCCATTTTGTATGGGAATAAATAGCTTGGAATATCTCAATGGCCTCCTAAAAACAAGCTTGGGTTTCAATATAGTATAATAATTAATATTCATTCTTAAGAAAATAAAACTGTACTTTTGCTTTCTTTTAGAAAGTGCTGGAAAGGCAACTATATTTGACAAATTTTCATAAATAAAGAAATTTACCACACTTAAATGTTTTATCTACTAATTAAAAAAATCTTTCCTACAGAATATCATTTTCTGATGAAATAGGGGGAAAAGAAGGTGCTAGGGGGTGAAGAAGTATGGGGTAAGTATAAAATTTCCTCTCCTCCTTTTTTACCTGAAAATATTTTTCCAAGCCTAAAGAAGTAGTAAAATCCTGCATCTGAGATTGAATGAAAGTTTTAATAGACACATCTTATATATATGCAATTCGATTTACACAGTTATTTCAATGTACTGACTGGGCTGCTTGCTTTATTTTTTTTATTTATTATTTTTTTTTTAAGTTTTTTTTCAACGTTTATTTATTTTTTTTGGGACAGAGAGAGACAGAGCATGAACGGGGGAGGGGCAGAGAGAGAGGGAGCCACAGAATCGGAAACAGGCTCCAGGCTCTGAGCCATCAGCCCAGAGCCCGACGCGGGGCTCGAACTCCCGGACCGCGAGATCATGACCTGGCTGAAGTCGGTCGCCTAACCAACTGCGCCACCCAGGCGCCCTTGGGCTGCTTGCTTTAAACGGAGACTCCTCTAAACAAAGCTCTTGAAGAAACTAACAATGTGTGAACCAACTTGTTTGTTCTGTGTGTCACTTGGCTGCAACAGTAGACTAAATTGCTCTTTTAACCACATTGTTTGTACCCCTTGTAGTATCTGGAATCATTCCTGAAACTAGAGAAGGGGGCTCAGGAAGCTGAAAGAGACAAAATATCTAACTATTGTTTCTTTGCAGAATTACAAAGGTCAGGTAGCAGGTTCATTTCTGATGGTTTTAAAGAGAAAAGCTAAGGGGTTCCTGGATGGCTCAGTCACTTCAGCGTCAGACTTCATTCAGTTTAGGTCATGATTTTGTGGTCCATGGGTTCAGGCCCCACATGGGGCTCTGTGCTGGCTGACAGCTCAGAACCTGGAGCCTGCTTCAGATTCTGTGTCTCCCTCTTTCTCTTTGCCCCTCCTCCACTCACTCTCTATCTCTGAAAAATGAATAAACGTTAAAAAACTTTTTTAAAAGGATGAACTATGGCGTCTAGTCCACTTTGGAATTCGTATCCCCGTTCTTGTGTGTTTTCAATGCTAGTCCACCTTGAGTGGATCACGAGAGATGATTTCTCAGCATTAGCCAGTGGTTTTCTAATTCTGATCTTAGTTTGTCCTAGTGATGTAACATTGATGAGGGATCTTGAAATTGTTAAATGCTGCAAAAGGTCTTGATTTTGTAATGATACCAAACTGTGGAAAATAAAAGGAGGATTGGTGAATTTTTGATAAATTATAATAGTTCTAATTGATTTTCATAAGAAAAAATAGGGAATGGATTATTTAGGAATCTGAATGAATATCTCACCTATTCCTATTAAAACTACAGGTTAGTTGAGATAAAAAATTTTAGGTATAAATTTTGGTAATAAAATTCGTTATGACTCTTTGCTTAATCATGAATTTAAGTGGTGACCGGTTCACCAGTTTGCAGTCAATAAGGTTGGCCAATGGGATAATTCACTTTGTAGTCTGGGACATCCAGCCCTATCTTCATTCTCTTGTTTATGCTCTATCTCATGTATTTTAGTAGTAATAGTAGTAGTAGTAGTGGACAGTTATTATTAGATAGAATTGAGTTGTTTCTATAATTTTTTATAGTCAAACATATACTAAGTAATACAGATTTTGAAAGCACTCGTGTTTAGGATGGGGAGACCAAAAGTGAATTCAGTGTTTATAATACTAGTAGCTGCCCTTCAAGGAGCCTGTGGTTTATTTGCGAAGAAGTGACATATGCAATAATCTGAGGTATTGAATAAATAAGTAAGTCTAAGGGCAGAGGTTCCTGAGAGTGAGTTGAGTATGGAGGAAGCAAGCTAAAATAACCCATTTCAAATCCTGGCATTATAATGATTTGCAGGTCTCCTCACACCTTTTCCTGACAGCATAGACAAAGCAAACGAGACTGGAGAATATGCTACAATGGCCCAAATAGATTTAATGTCATTTTAGCTGATTATTTTTAGGCTTTGAGTATATGATAATTCAAATCTACCTAAATAATAGGTTGACTTTAACACTGAAAATTCAAAAAAGAAACTGCTGCAAAAGTATACACAATAGTAACAACTAGTTTTTGGAAGAATATAATTTTTTTTTTTTTTTTTTTTGCCATATACTAGTATTACATAACCTGCCCCAGACCTAGGAACAGCCTTTACTCTGACTGGTTATCAGACTTTGTTGTCTTCTAGCTAAGACTGAAACCTTTTTTTAAAAATTACTTTTGTAGATTTTATCACCAAAGACCTCAGAGCAACCTGAGTGCCAGAGTTCTGGACTTGGACAGGTAAGGCAGAATTATGATTAGAATTCTTGGTCAGGGAAGAAGGCTCCTGATTTAAGAATAGTTTTCTTCCTCTTGAAAGCTCAGGAGAACACATTTAATCCATCTACATTTATGAAAAATTTAGTACAGAGAATCTCAAACATCTACATAAGTAGGAAGAAACAAATGGAAACCCTCACCATTAGTCTCATCAAATATCAATTGCTGGCTATTTTCTCTATGCCGCCCCTTACTACCACCATCATAATTCCCAGCAATTTTGAAGCAAATTCTAGATTTTCTTTTCTCAGTAAAAATTTTAATATATCTATTTCTAAAATGTAATAACTGCCCCTTTCAAACCCAAGTATAAAGTCATCATCATATACCCCCCAATTAACAATAATTCCTTAATATTAACAAATAACCGGTCAGTTCACATTTCTTTGATTGTCCTATAAATATATATGTTTTTTAATTTTAATGACCATTATTTCTTTTATTAATGATCCAGACACAATTTTTCTTTCTTTTTTCTTTAATTATTTTATTTTTTACAATTTATTTTAAGTTATAAGTTTAAGAGAACTTCATTTGTTCATATTTCCTTGAATTTTTTTGTCTGCCACTGAATCAAAAGCATTCATCCTGCATGGTTCTCAACTGTCTGTATTGTGTCCATTGTATACCCTTCATGCCTATACATTTATCATGTTCTTTGACCCATGTGTTTACTGTCAATTGGTAGATAGATCTAGAGCATTGAAAAAATTCAGGTTTGATTTTTTGGTAGGTCTACTTCATAGGTGATGTTCATTAATTCCAAAATGAGTTATAAAGTGTCTGCTTGTCTTATTGTGATGTTGCAACCATCAATTATTCCTGCCTAGACCCATTAATTTATTATGGGTACCAAGTGGTGATGTTCTGCTAATTATATTATTATTTTTTAATTAATATATTTATTTTGGGGGGGAGACGGGGAGAGAGAGAGAGAGAGAGAGAGAGAGAGAGAGAGAACAAGCAGGGGAGAAATGGAGAGAGGGAGAGAGAGAGGGAGAGGGAGAATCACAAGCAGGGCCTGCATATTCAGTGAGGAGCCTGATGCGGGGCTCGATCTCTTGAACCAGGAAATCATGACCTGAAAGGAAACCAAGACTTGGACCCCTCACTGACTGGGTCAATCAGGTGCCCCTTTACTAATTATATTATTATTATTCATTTTTAGCTGGAATATTCATTTCATCAACTATTTGGTTGCCCTGAGTCACAGTTTAATTTGAAAAGGCAGAATAAATGTTTCTTTTATTTTATTTACCAATTTTGCAAAAAAAAACAAAAGAAAAAAAAAGACTCCAGAGTATATTTCAAAGATGATCTGTTAGGTATTTTATTTCCTTGTTGTTGTTTTCATTGATGCTATTGTAATTATCAGTGCACAGATTGTGCCCGACCATATTCAGATTGGCTCCTGAGTCATTTTGACACATCCCAGTAGTCTTTGATAGTCTTCCCTACTCTCTGGTATGACAAGATGTAATAGGAACAACTTGTTCTCCTGTGCTGGTTCTGAAATCAGCCATTTCTCCAAGGAGACATTATCCATTGTATTTATTCAAAGTTGTGTTCCTTCTAGTTTAATCTTCATTCAAGAAATGATTTTTTAAACATAGTATTTATTGAATTCTTTCACTTTTTCAAATCTTCCAATTCTCCAAATGCTTCATTTTATCTTGTAATTGTCTTTTTATGTTTTTTTAAAATAAATAGTTTCTATCACTTTTTAAATTTCTTTTACTTTTCAAAAAACACTAGGCAACACATTTTGTTTTGTGGGTCTTTTTCTCAGCCTCTCAGGGTCTGCTGAGACTTTCTTACCTTTATTTTCCTTTTTATTTCCTACGAACTTTCTGTGGGATTTTACTGGAATATTTTTCTTTTCCTCATTCTAAAATGAAATAAATTTCCATTTTAGGAGAGAAGCATAGGTCAGAATATATTTTCTAGCTTCACAATTCCAGTGATCACTGCCTTCTGTTATTTTCATGACAAGATTCAAAAAAATTCTAAAATTTTCCTCCTCAGCCCTCCAACTTTGATTTTTCAGGTTCTCTTCTTTTCTGCCCTGTTGAGCCTGGGGATTTGTTCTAGAAGGGTGGTTGGTTTGATATGTGTCAAGGTTTCGCAGGCTCCAGAACACATCTGTAGCCTCAGAATATCTCAAAGTTCTTGCACACATTTGCAAATTGGAGGCTGCAAGGTCTACTGCTAGTTTCTGCTGCTGTTCTCTGTGAGTTTGTGATGGCAATCGTAGGAATCTCTGGCTCTTCTAAATATAAAATCAGCTTTCTCTTCCTTCAACTTCTTTCTTCTTTTAGATACCACATGTGGGTCATTTTGCTCTTGTGGATTTGTCCCTCCCTGGTTGTACGTTGCAGTTCACGTGGGCACCTTATCATAGATGTTGTCTGTGAGTTTTGGGGCTTGCTTTGCCAGATGCTTTTTCTTTTCTTGTTAGTGTGTGTCTTTAGGGAAGGGGTAGGATATTCAGAGATAAAAAACCTTCTCTGTAGCTGCTGTCATTTCCCCAGAGACCTCTGCAATTCGTATTTAAAACAAAATTATGGGAGTCATTATCCTGATCATAATTATATTGTATCTATATCCTTTTCTAGGCTTCATGTTCCACATAGACCCCCCCCTCCCCCCACTGTAGTATACTGAGTGATTGGATAATGTTGAAGTTTGGGGCCCTCTTTCTGTACCGCCCTCCTCCTAAACATGGCAATCTTAAACTCTACGCTGTTTTCTTCACTGTTAAGGAATTTAGAAAATAAAGAGAAGCATAGGTTTACTGGCTGAAAGTGGATTAATGTATTATTTTTCTTAGGTAAAATGTTATAAGACTCTCTAGGCTGAAATTTCCTTGAATCATATTGCAAAGATGAGTGCCCACTTAAAGCACACTAAGACCTGAATCCAAGGAGTAAAACATTTTTTAGAGCCTTCAAATTTGCAAACTTAGTGCAATTCTGCATTACTTCTTAAGGTAACTGAAAAAAAATAATTTTGTGATAAAGTAAAAGTTGATTTTATGAAATAATATTATTTTCAAAGGGTATATGTATATATACACACACACATGCTCAGTGGGTCTTTGAACAACATAGGTTTGAACTGTGGAGGTCCACTTTTACATTGATTTTTTTCAATATGGTACAATACTATAAATATATTTTCTCTTATGATTTTCTTAACATTTGCTTTTTTCTAGCTTACTTTATTGTAAGAAGACAGTATATTTTATATATAAATATAAATATAAATATATATAAAAAAATATATATATAAAACATACAAAATATATGTTGACTCTTTATGCTATTGGTAAGACATCTGCTCAATACTAGACTATTATTGGTTAAGTTTTTTGGAGTCAAAAGTTATAAATGGATTTTAAACTGTGCAGGGGGTTGACATTCCTAATCTCACATTGTTCAAGAGTCAGCTGTGTATATCATTACATATCTGTATCTGGGGGTGGGGAGAGGAAAAGTGTTAAGGCTCTATCAGTTGTTATCTCTTTTTCTAGAATATGGAAACATTTGAAGAGAAATGTAGCATAAAATAAGATGATAATCTAATAATGAATATAGTTGTAGCTATTGCTATGCAATGAACCAATCCTAAAATGCTTATGGTTTAAACAGCAATCATTTCATCTCCTCACAATTATGGATCAGCAATGTGGGCTGGATCCCTTGGTTGGATCTATGTTGCTTTCATCTGAGGTCACTCATAAAGTTGACATCATCTGGTTACTTGGCTGAGATGGTTGCTTTCACATGTCTGATCACTGGTGCTGGCTGTTGGCTTGGGCAGGTGTCTCCATTACGCTGGCCAGCCTTTTTCACATGGCAGGTTTCCATAAGGAGAATCTTGATGCACAAGTACTTTCCAGCTCTTGATATGCTACTGGTCAAAAGCAAGTCACATGAGCAAGCCCAGGTCAGTGTGGGAAGGAACTACACAGGGTAAGGAAATAGTGAGACATGGTGCATTGGGACCAATAGTCTAACAACCTACTACAATAATTATATAAAGGAAACCATTCTGAAGGCAGATGATAAAAAAAATACATGTAAGTGGGAGAGTGGTGTAGGTGGGAGTAAGAGGCAATAATCAAAGCATCACTCTTTTTTCCCTTCAATTTTCATGCTCTTTGACTCTGCTCATTTTTAGAATAAATTATGACTTACTCTTCATAAATTTGTTACCTTATTTTTCTCAAAGAAATATTGATCTCACTTTTATCTGCTATCCCACAGAAATGCACTAGAAAACAATTTCCTATGTAAAATATTTCACAAAGTGTAATATTATGTACCCAGTACAATTAACAGGTATTAAGAATCACATTTCATCATAGCTTAAATAATATCATTCCTCCCCTGAAACTTAAGATAAGATTCTCACTGATTCCTGATGGGTTATTTTCTTCAATAACAAGAGCTGACTTAAGGCCATTTCTTCCTAGTGCATAGAGGTCCATGTTTGACTGCTCTTTGATCCTCATTCACATTATCTTTGGTGAACCTGATGATCACCCCCCCTGGCTCAGGCCACCAGTATTGCTCCTGATGAAAGTTAACAGTGTTGGCCACATTAAGTCTTACACAGCAAATTGCTGACTTCTGGGGTTTCCTATCAGCTTTACCAGATATTTCACAGCAATTGTTGGACAAGGAAGGCTATAAGCAAGAAAGGTAAACAAGTGTTAAAGCGTTTTAGCATCTAACTGAAATTTTTTATCTACCATAATCTTATGGAATAAGTATAAAAGTTACTTATAGCTTAGGTAGTGAGAACTTGGGAAAATTTTGGAAGCATCTATATTCATCAGTTATTTCAGGAGTTGGATATTCCCTGGTAACTCAGGATCCTTTTTACCTGGAACAGGGAGCTCTTTCTGTGTTGAAGTGGTTTTACCTTTTTCCAAGGCATTTTTAGTTTTCTCTATT